GTTCTGTAGTCCTTAAAATTTCCTGTCCTAGGGGGCCAGCACTGCTCCTTGCTAGATACAGTACAGTGAGTAAGCGTTGTCACCCTAGGATGGGAAGTGTGTTACTAGCAGGGTCACCATGTAAAAATAACTCCCTGAGCTCTCTGCTATTAATTACACCCCCTCATTTGTTATCGAGGACAGTAGGAGGTGTTCCTGTTCCTGTTCTAGGGTGACAATGCTATTTCTTTGTAGATACAACAATGTGCATGGGTGTTGTCACCCTAGGACAGGAGGTGTGTTCCTAGCAGGGTCACCAGGTGAAAATAACTCCCTAATCTCTCTGCTGTTAATTACACTCCCCTTTTGTTATAGAGAAGAGGACAGTAGGCGGTGTTCTGCAGTCCTAAAAAACTTCCTGTCCTAGGGTGACAATGCTTCTCCTTCATAGATACAGCAATGAGCGTTGTCACTCTAGGACAGGAAGTGTGTTACTAACTTACTAGCAGGATTACCAGATGAAAATAACATCTGGAGTTCTCTGCTATTAATTACACCTCCTGCTTTGTTATGGAGAGTAGGAGGTGTTCTGTAGTCCTAAAAAAAAAACCGTTCTGTTCTAGGGCAACAGAAATGCTCTTTCATAGAGACAGCAAAGTGTGTGAGTGTTGTCACCCCAGGACAGGAAGTGTGTTACTAGCAGGATCACCAGGTGACAATACCTTCCGTGCTCTCTGCTGTTATAACACCTTTCCCTTTGTTATGGAGAACAGGAGAGTATGAGGTGTCTTGTGGTCCTAAAAACTTCCTGTCCTAGGGTGACAACGCTGCTTCTTCATAGATTAAGTAAAGTAGTGTTGTCACCTTGGGATAGGAAGAATGTTACCAACAGGATCACCAGGTTAAAATAAAGGGGCATGAAAGCCTGATCAAAGAAAACGAATGCAGCCAACACATCTAATGAATGTTAAGCTGCAATATGTTACACTTGTGTTGTTGGGTTTGGAAATGCTTTGAGTACTTTTATCTCAGCAGCTGTTCTTTTGGAATTCCGATCAGACTGCCGAATACATAGACAGCCACTAGAGGGAGAATCGAAAGATCTGCCTATGTAATGCAATAATAAAAACAGGGAGCAGCACTCATTTAAAATTGTAACACCCCATTAGAAATGGCTTTTGGCTAAATGTTACTATAATGACCCAAATTATACGTACAGTGAATATATTTTTAGAGGAGGGTTCCTTGGTATGCGTCGTATAGGTTTACCCCTAGAATTAATGCTGCTAATTAGTCGTCAAGGTCACAGCTGGTTCATTCGCCCGCCAGTTTCGGCTTCCGGGCGCTGAATCCCCTCCTGGCCATTGTGTAAACATTTCAGATATGTATGTCGGGTGCATTAGATGACATATGTCAGCCTGGGAGGTTACTGGAGTTCTGGCAGCTGGGACTGCTATCTGGAGCATTTGTAAAAACTCCTTTTTATTGTGAAGTTTCTTATGGGAGATTGTCAGCATGGACCTATGAGTCATGCTGGGACTTGTATTTCCACAGAAGAAGGAGCTACAAGTCTATAGAGAAGATATATGGGGAACAGAATGGGGGGAATTTATCAAAACTGGAGCAGACAGAATCTGGAGCAGTTGCCCCTTGTGACCAATCAGCTTCTCTTTTCAGTTTGTTCAGGTACAATTTGAAAATGAGAGATAGAAGCTGATTGGTTGCCGTGCACAGCTGCTCCAGTTTTTGTCTGCTCCAGTTTTGATCAATTCCCCTCAATGTCTTTTGGGATCCCATTGCATTGTGGTGTATAGGGATCACAGAGGGATTGTTGTTCTATATTTTAGAATGTAATTATAATGTGCAATGTCACACCGGCCCTGGCTTCAAATAAGAAATAAGAATGTTTGGTAGAATGAAGCTGGCCATACACCTAGAGATTATCTGCAGATGTTCTATGGTCAGGTGGAAAAAGTGCAACAGATTCCTCCATCTACGCCAAACTGTGTGGATGGAGGAATCTCCCGCTGGGCCAGGCTTCAGTATCTTGCTAGTCGGCCCTGCTGGCCCTCAACACACCTGAACAATGCCTGCATCCAATCAGATTGTTCAGGTATTTTGAGAGCCAGCGGGGCCGACAAGCAAGATACAGACCATAGAAAATCTGCAGAAAATCTATAGGTGTATGGCCAGCGTAAGCCAATTGTAGTTAGTTACATTTAACTGGACTTGTTCCACTGGATACAAATCCTCAGCTAGTAGGAAAAAGGCCTTTGTTTAGGCCACATATCCTAGGTTTGGTCGCTCTCTCCACCATGTGGGGGTCCACTTGGATATAGGGGTCATCCAGCTTAAGAAGACTATGTATAGTGGAGCCAGAAGGAGAGCCCAACTTGAGAGTCCAGAAATGTATTTTAATGATTCCACAAATGGGAAAAGGATAACAAAGGGCAGCCAACGGTTTTGGTAGCCCAATAATCATCCTTTATCAGTTGTCACAGTATCTATTGGTATCTATTGATATCGGAGTATATCAATCAGAGACTGAAGGATAAATAGTGAATGGGTGCCTGTGTTAAAAGCCGATGAGCGAAGCAAATGAGCGAGTACAATATTAATCTTATCACGATGGGATCCCTACTGACACTTACATTGACTCTTGTGGGGTTTACAGCTCCCTTCCTTTCCAAAGTGTTTAGGAGGTCAGTTCTTTTCAGCTCCCCGCCTGGTAAGACCATAAACATCTATGGCCAGCCTTAGTGGAGGAGGCTGTGTATAATATCTAGTGTATATCTAGTGCAGCGTTTCTCAACCTTTATTCACCCACAACACCCTTTAAAAGTATGCAAAATCTCAATGCACCCCAATTTAAAATGTGCAAAAAGTAAATGTAAAAAAGGACGTGTGGCCTCCTCCAAAATCCATACCAGACCCTTATCCTAGATAGGGGTCTGGTATGGATTTTCATGGGGGACCCAATGCATAAATGCCCATTGCCCTCCTTACCATCTTGTCTTGAATTGTATTGCGATTGTAATATCTTCCTTATATTGTAAAGCGCTATGCAAACTGTTGACGCTATATAAATACTATGTAATAATAATAATAATAAACACAAAAATGGATACACTTTTCACTTTACAAGTCTCCCTTCATATCAGGAGCCCCCCTCTTAACATCAGAAACCCATCTTACAAACTAGAGTCCCCCCTACCTTTTTCATCACTAATCACCCTTCACATCAGAAGTCCGCCTGCACAATGGAAAGGCATGATGCTGTGTGAAAATTTTAAGGCAGCCCTGAGGAAACCCTGGCTGAGAAAGGCTGATCTAGTGTGCAAACACGTGCAAAAATGGACATGCGTTGGAATATCAGTGATTGCTACAAAGTGGCATCTAAAACAATTGCCTTTGCAATAGGTTTTGCACTCCTTCACCCTTATCTTAAAAAAGACAACAAAGGCACCTTTATAAGGCCTGGTTCACACATGGGCGTTTTGTAGCGCGTTCGAACACTCTGCAAAACGCTCAAACACCGAAATCCCATTATTTCCTATGGGTATGGTTCCACCTGGGCGTATTACAGGCCGTATGAACGCGCTATGAAACGGCCTACGCCCAAAGAAGTACAGGAGCTTCTTTGGGGCGTTTTTGTTGCGCGTTTCCATTGGGATACAGCCAAGTAGCCCTCGGAAACGCGCGTTTGACGCGCGTTGTTTACCTGAATCGCGGTAAAAACACGCGTCACGAAACGCGCGACAAACGCGCATATTCGATACTCCTAGGTGTGAACCCAGCATAAATGTTTAGTAATCTTAAGATACAAATAGATAATTGCCGGCTTTCCATTTTCACTAAGGGCAGATTAATCTATCTCCCTTTACTTCCTGGAACTCTGGGTCTGCTTCCTAGAACATGTGACAGTGCACATCATCTCAGAGAGAAAAGCTCTTTCCCCCGAGATCTCACAAGATTTTGCAGTTTACAGATGAGATGTCCCAGGAGGACACTGGTTGATGTAACCTTCCCAAGGATGCATCTCTGAGGCCAGGGTTACCTCTCCACTCAACAAGGAAGTAGAAAATCAGTAATTGTAAGCTAAAGCAAAATGTTTGTTTAATCAATGTAAGATGATGTCATATCAGCATTTAGAGATCATTGCTCCGGAAAATGACAGTGAATCGGGTCTGCACAATGTTTGTTGACAAAGCCACTTGTAGACTCCACCAGGGGCGCATGTGACACGATGTTCTCTTGGGAGACATTTGTCAAGCCAAAACAGCAAGTGCCTGAACAAGGACTGTAGGATTGCCAGATATTCAATAAATGAAAGCTTCAGATTCAACAATGATCGAAACAACTTTTGAAATTATATCAACGCTATAACGAATATTAGAGCTACTCTAAATATTTGGAATTGTTAAAGAATCAAAAAGCTCCTTGGGTGACCTGATTCTGTGAGCAGCTCTGACCTGCAGCATCTGTTCTTGCCTGCTTTGTTCTCAGAGATTCCACAGTTCATTTTTAGTTCAGTAACGTAGTTTACATTTATTAGTAACTTGAGCATAAGATCAAATGCATGCGTAACAATAGAAGGAGCATCATTGTTCTGCTTAGACGCCTGGACTCCGTCTAAGTTTCCTTGGCACGTATTTGGTTGTATTTAGTGATCCTGTAAATGAGCTTGAAGCTGAACCCTGTAGCTGTCCTCCACCCACATTTTGGCCCCTCTGCTTAATCACTGAGTGAAAAAAACAACAATAACAAAAACAAGCTCATCTAAAAGCTCAATTTGCTTATCTAAATCCATGCCCAAGCTTTTAATCTTCTGCAGATGAGGAGGGTTCTTCTTCAGGTACCTGTTAATTCTATTTTGCGACTTTCCATTTGCCAATTACATTTCCCATAGGCTTTACAGCAGCAGGGTCCTCTCACAGGGTCCTTTAACATCACAAAGGGTGGTGGCCAGAAGAAGACCGGTTGGCAGCAAGCCCAGACTCTATAAATTAAATGGTTCCGTGATGACGGACTTCAGAAAGTAAGTAACTTTGGGGGAATGGGAGGGGCGGTTACCCATAGATGAGCTTTATCCACTTCACCACATCACAAAGGGTGACAGCCAGAAGACTGGTTGGCAGCAAGCCCAGAATCTAGCATTGGATGGTCCCATGGTGGCAGACTTCAGAAAGTAAGTAACTTTGTGAAGTGTGGGGTAGGGGGGCTGTTATCATTACCCATAGATGAGCTTTAACCACTTTGCCACATCACAAAGGGTGGTAGCCAGAAGAAGACTGGTTGGCAGCAAGCCTTGAGTCCAGCATTGGATGGTCCCAAGATGGCGGACTTTAGAAAGTAAGTAACTTTGGGGAAATGGGAGGGAAGTGGAGGGGGGAGGGGTTATTGTTGCCCATCCACTTCACAGGGATAAAGGGAGGGTGGGCTAATTTAGCCAACGTGTATGGGGTGGGGGGGGGGGAATAAAAAGATGAGTGCACTTTGCTTAAATAATCACTTATTCTTATGTTTTAGGGCCCAAATGGGGAGTGGGGGATTGTTAGGCATCAGGGTCCATGGAAAAGATGGGCAAAGGGCACAGAGAAGAACATGTAGGCTTTTTCCCACCCCTTAAACACCCTCAAAGTCATATTAAGGCTTCAGTTTGTTTTGTTTTTTCTACACCCAGGAGGCCACAATTTTTATAAATACTCTTTTCTTTTTCCTTAAAAACATTTAGTTCCTAATTTTCTAGTGGGTCCCACCGTCCCTGCATCGCTCTCCCTCCTGCCCCCTGGCTGGATGCCTTCATCAGCTAAGTAGCTGCTGTGGAGGAACCTGTGCATGCGCGTTTCCGCCCGTGCCCGCAGTAGCTGTGTGCGTCCATAGACACACACAGTCCTGCGGCAGGCCACGACCCTCCTACCAACAGGTTGATTGACAGCAGAAGGAGCCTATGACTCCTCTGCCCCCAGTATCCTTCCCCTGCAACCAGGAAGTTTGGGGAGGGGAGGATAGCTTCAGAGACTGGCGGCGGTGACAGCGATGACACAGGTAAGTTTGGGAGGGGGGAGACACCAAAAGGTACTAGTTGTTTTTTACTTTAATGAAGAGAATACATTAAGGTAAAAAACAACCGGCCTTTAATACTACTTTAAGTCACAACTGCAAACTTTCCTATTACTTTCTGATGCTCAGGAGAAATCTTCCAAATGAGGACATAAACAGCAATAAAAAGTTGACAGAGGTTCTAACACTTGCATATTCTATGCAAAACAAAATGTTTTGGCTGAGGTTATCCTTTAGCCTATCCAAGCAATATGGAGAGGATGCAGACTTTGTCACAAAGATTATTCAGCAGTTCTTCCCCTGTACCAGATCCTCAGCCTGGTGTGTCTCTTCAATAGATGTGACCCATGCTAAGGCATAAATCCCCCCCGGCTTATAGGCATTTGCTGATTTTTCTTTGACTGTAGTCTAAGCTTAGTAAAGATTTCAGAGGTAATTAATCAGGAACCGATTGGCATTTGGCCACAACGATAAAGGAAACTTCATGCGTGCTCTGCAAATTGGGCATCAGGAATGAAGCTGTAACCTCACCCTAACATATGTGCCAGGAGGGATATTTTAGGGCCAATGAAATGTGTACAAAGTCTGAGACTCTTTTTCCTTACAAAGGGCACCTTGTAATCAAGCTCCATATGGTGGAAGCTGCTATAAGCAGCTAGCATTGGACAAGAGGCTCATCTACCCACAATGCTGTGAGTGTCAGATTTCCAGCGCACAAGACCATGGTCAAGAAGGATGCTATTTTAATAATCTGTCCTTGAGACCAGAGTCAATAGAAGGGTAGTGGAGCCTTGACGGATCTATCATTCCCTCGTCCTTCCAACACTGTCTAGAGGAGCAGCTACTGCAGGTGACACTTCGCCCAAAAATTAAGGAGCATGCATTTGTATTGAAAATACAAATAATAATAATAATAATAATAATAATAACTCCAGGAAGTAGACTAACCATTTAAATAATAAACAGCAACACAAATATTACAAATATGTGATGTTATGTAATGTTATAAATATGCAAATATGTTATTCAATAATCTAGTGGCTGGATGTACAGCGTACTGCAGTATAAATGCTGGTGAATAAACAGTACATTTCTTAGTGCTAGTAATAATACAGGCCTATACACCCAACCAAAAACAGACAAATGAGAACAAAAGCCGGGCAGAGGGATTTGGTTCTAAAAGAGGGACAGTCCCTCCAAATTAGAGGCAGTGGGGATCTGTGCATTCACTGAATACTATGTACAGCCCTTGAGGCCCTCTATATCAGTTAAGTTGACCATCACTGACATACAGTGTTATGGTATTTTAGGACCCGGTTTGTCTAAATGAATTCAGCATTAGCAGTGAGTCTTGTGCCAGGCTTGTCTTCCAGCTCCAGACATTCCTGGGGATCATTAATCAAAGTATCTACAATATTATCTTTTCCTTTTCTGTTTTTATTCCATTTCACAGCTGTGCACACATCGCCATCATGTCTGAAAACAGGTAAGCCCCCTTCGTATCCTTGCTCAGTGTATTTACACAGTACGATAATCCAGAATTTTAGTAATACAATGCCTCTACTAGCATGAGATTCTGATGGCTTGGATACATTTATTTTGCTGATTTATAAAGCTCTGATGCTTTTTTTTTTCCTGTGGCATATTCACAGAGAACATTGAACCATTCACACCAGTCCCTGCCACAAAGGAGCTTTCAATCTAATATCTCTAACATAGTCATGCTCGCCATACACAGCGCTGTATGTAGGCATGCTGCTTTAGGTACACCTGAATGACGCCCTTTGGTACAAGCTCTGCCCCTTGCATTATTGGAAGAAGCAATGGACTCCTTTATTTTCCAACTTATTTTTTTTAACTCTACATGCCAACAAACAAAAGAAAAAGGGAGATGGTGTCAGAATCAGATGGTGGTCTGACCCTGCGTATATTGCAAGGAACGTTTAGTTATATCTACCGCAAGCAAAGTGTCCCAATAATTCACTTCAAATAGATGGCTATATGATTAACAGGCAATAGGCCTAATTCACAGAGCTAACACACCAGGATACGGATCCTTATTTTAAAAAGTGAGTTATTTTCAGCTGAATTTAGGTTCTGGTTTAAAAATTACTGTCGCTTAGATAAAGTAAATATCCTTGTGTTAAAGCTTTGCGAATTGAGAAGTTTGTGTGTACTGTTTTCTGAAGTGCCTATAATTTATAGAGTGAGATATTGCAAGGAAGTAATAAGCAAAATAATATAGCTTGTTTAAGTTGCAATAAATGAATAAACAGTGTCCCACACTGCCATCTGGTTCAAACTAATAATACTAATAAATACTTGTGTCTTATGCTGCCATCTAGTGGTTCAAACTAATAATACAAACAATACTTATGTCCTACGTTGCCATCTAGTGGTTCAAATTAATAATACAAATAATACTTATGTCCTATGCTGCCACCTCGTGGTTAAAAGTAATATTACTACTACTATATCTAAAGCTGGCCATACACCTTACAATTATCTGCAGATTTTCTATAGTCAGATGGAAAAAGTGCAACAGATTCCTCCATCTATGCTAAGCTGTGTGGATGGAGGAATCTCCCACTGGGCCAAGCTTCAGTATCTTGCAAAATATGCCAAATACATTTTTTACACACATTATCATACATATTTACATTTACATAAGTAGATCCAATGCAAATCTCAGTTTAAGCAGACACAGCAATTTTTAAGAAGAGAAAGGTTTTTTGCACTCCTTACCAGACAACCCCGAATATGGGGAAGGGTGCTTGGAATGACCACGGATGGCGCCGCCAATTGCTGACAATATAGAGATGTCACCAGCACAATTTATTCAAAACTTATGTCAAATACACTCACTGTATTTGACATAAGTTTTAAATAAATTCACCATTGACTTTCCTTGAAGGAGTCTGGTGTGCTGGTGACATTTCTATATTGATAGCAATCTTTAAAACTCAGTAGGTAAACACTTGTCCAAAGTTTACAACTTTCACTCTCTACCATCTCTTGTGCCTCACTATAGGTTACTGAGCCCATCTTGTATAGAAGCAATAGTGATACAGCTGGGAAGAGCTACCCATAGACCTACCTGATATGTCAGACATCCCAAGAACTTCAGGTGCTGCTAATTGACAGCAGCAGTGGGCGGGTGCAATAGCCAGCCTTCTATTGGCTATTGCAATTTGAAATGGCAAATAGCAGCCTAGGTATTCATTCCCCTGCTATCTGTTATTGTTTTTTATTATTCAGATGGAAGACAACGGCTAGCAGGTAACAGCAAATAGCAGGGGATCCCTGAAAGGTTTACTCTGCTAGAGTTTTTAAAAAGTATTCTTTTATCGTATGCAACTGCTTTCAAGCAAACGGAGGTGTATAAACATGCATATTTTTTAAACTGGAATTCCATCCAAAACCTTTTTTAGACTGGGCAAAGCATAGACTGGGCAAAGCATAGACTGGGCAAAGCATAGAACCTGGGCAATGCATAGAACCTGGGGAGGCTGATCTGTCCTTGCAATTGGGCGGTGCCAGACGTGAAATTACGGCTGGCTCTGCCCAGCTGTCAGTTGCAAGGCTTTTGGCCAACCAATGGCCGGCCGCTCAACCCGCTTCGGGTTTCAATTTCGGCTCGGCTGAGCCGCATATGCTTTGGGAGCTGTACGGGCTATAGTGAATAGCCCGTATAGCAGCCCTTAGGAGCTATGACTGATCCTTCGGTTGGCTTTGTGAATAACCCTCTATGTTTAAGTTTCTCATGTTGTTAAAGTATAAGTCCATTTTTTTGGGTCGTGGGTAATGACTGGAAAATGTCAGGTTTTACAGCCATCTGGGTCTCTGTTAGGAAGATTTCTCCTCACTGTGCAGCAGGGACACAGACACAAATAAAAATCTGATGGCGATATGCTACCAAAGAAAGTGTTTTTACTTCTGTGGAGTTTGCATGCCACAATTATTGCATAATGATTAATTGTATGTCTACGCAATGCCTCCTTTAACTTTGTTTTCTTTCTTTTTTGTCGGGTTCATGAAACAGAGAGGTAAGTTGAATATTTATTTCTGTTTAATTATTAAATACCCCCTGCCGTCTACCAATGTCTAATGTTTTATTTCCATAAATTCCAGAGGAAATCTAAAATCCCGGCTTCCAGAAAGCTTCTACTGAAGGTATGTTGCATTAAAGATTAGTAAACTGAACTGGCTGATGTGGATGTAGTAGCCAACACAAAAGAGGGAAGGTACTTTTAAAATGTTATCATATTTTGTAGGCACTACACATGTTATGCAGGTAATTTGAAATTAAAATCCACAAATAAGTTCTCATTTTAGTTTTAACTTGAACAGAGAACACTATTACAGTTAAGTGTTATGTGTCCCCATTTGGGAAATTATTCCTCATTTCATGTCCAAGGGACACATTTTGCTGAGACAGGAAGTGAAAAGAAATCTCACAAACAATAATAAAAACTCCACAGAGTTTCTAAATCAATAAACTTGGATATCATCCTAATATATACTGTATACTTCTTTTTTAGTAATTTGATTATAAAGTTCAGCAGTACTGTATTCAGGGTTAGGCTAATCATAAACATAAAGCTCACTGGCCAAGTCCTTCGTTGTAGAGTATTCAGTGTTATATGAAAAGTTATATCATACACACAAACAACTACTAGAAAAATACATACAATCTCAAAACATTATGCAAAAGTGCTGACTGTGTCCCCACTGAGAAGATTAAATCTCTCCATTTGTCCTCTCCTGGTACTTAATGTCATCAGGACTAAAAGTGATGGGAAAATTCTAAGTTTTAACCTCTCATCAGAACAGCAATCATCTCCCAACGATGATATTTTTCAAGTGACAACCAAGGTGATTTCTCTCGAATTGAAGAGTTTTACTCTCACTTCCTGTTATGTCTACAGTACAGAAATTAAAGAGAACTCTCCAATGACACCCCCCCAAAAAAAAAGACAGAAGCCCTTACCTACACTATCTACAATAAAAAAAGAAAATGTTTTGGCTTTGGATATACTTTATACTTGTCCTGGACTGACATGATATGAATGTCTTTATTACAGAGATTTAGACATGGGAGGGGATACTCCTGGATGGAAATGCATTGTGTGCAGATGTTTGTCTGAATCTGACAGAATCGCTATATTATTGGAAATGTGCTAATATGCTGCTCCAGGTCAGAAGGTTCAGGAACATTATTATGTACCAACCAGGAGTCTAAAGATAAGAGCCAGGCCCAGGTTAAACATTTAGGGCTTTACATATTATTTGTGAGCGTTGTGTCATTAACACTAGCAGAAACTTAATTGAAGGCCTGGAGCAGATTTTTCTTCGCCAGATAATCCAGTAGGCACATGTGGAAAATTCCAAAGTCATCTGAACTCAGCAAAGAAAAACAGGCTTTATTATAAAGAATTGGCATAGGCTCGAAGCTCTGATTGACAGGTGTGAGTTCAACAGACGTGACAACAACCTCAGGGCAGCTTACTACAAATCACTTCTGCACCAAGTATCTCAGATGAGCTCACTCAGCATGAAAGGAGCATTTTCTTACAGTGTTTATGGGGACAGCAGATGGGCCAGATGTGTATGCTTGTGACAAACACAGTCTGAAGCCATTCTGGTCTCTTAAAGCGGACAAGTCTCTTCTGGACTGTTCATGAAGTTATTTTGTACCAGCATTCTCATCAACCCCATATCCCTCAAGGAAGGAAGGGAAGACGGGGAGTGGGAGGTGGGATATGTAGGAAGAAAGGAAGGAATAAATAGAAGGAAAAGAGTAAGGTAGAAAAGGAAGGTAGGAAGAAAAAGAGGGAGATTGGGCAGGAAGGAAGACAAGAAAGAAGGAAAAAAGAAAGAAAGGAAAGAAGGAAGGAAGAAAAAAATGAAGGAGCTAAGAGAAAGTAGGAAGGATAGATTAAAAAATAAGGGAGGGAAGGAAGGAAGAAAGGTATGAAGGAAGAAAGAGAGAGAAGGTAGGATGGAGAGATCGAGATAAGACATGAGGGAGGGAAGTAAGGAAGGAAATAAGGAAGGAAGGAAGGAAGATAGAGAAAATAGGAAGGAGGGACTGAGATTAGAAATGAGGGAGAGAAGGTAAGAAGGAGAGATTGCAGTAAGAAATGAGGGAGGGAAGTAGGTAAGAAAGGAAAGAAGGCAGTAAAATAGAGAGAAGGTAGAAAGGAGAGACTAAGATAAGAAATGAGGGAGGGAAGGAAGTAAGGAAAGAAAGAAGGAAGGAAGAGAGAGAAGGTAGGAAGGAAAGATTGAGATAAGAAATAAGGGAGGGAAGGAAAAAAGGAAGGAAATAAGGAACAAATTAAAAATGAAGAAAGGAAGAGAAGGAAGAAAGTTAAAAAGGAAGGAAGAGAGAAAGGAGGTAGGAAGGAGAGAATGAGATAAGGAAGGAAGAAAATAAGTTAGGAAGGAGACAGGAAGGTAGATGGAAGAAGAAAGAGAAATTGGGAAGGAAGAAGGAAACAAAGAAAGAAAGAAAAATAAAGAGAGGGAGGGAAGAGAGAGAAGGTAGGAAGGAGAGATAAAAGATTGAGATAAGTAAGTACAGCATAGCCCTATAATAAGTGATTATGGCTGTAAATGTGTTTCTTCATTTCTTTTATAAAACAGAGATAAAATATTCATATGGAACAAGTACTACGTTTACATTTGAGGACAAATACATCATTACCCTTAATAGCAACCAGTCTCTAGGGAAAAGAGGCCATTGCTGACCTGTTTCTGAAACTGTTCCCCCGCCCTCTTTCCTGGCTTACATGGTTATTTTCCAAATTCAATACTTCTTGTGTCACAGACCTGAACCAGGAATGTAGCAAGTGAAGTCAGAGTAACCCCTGATCTGCACGACAGACAGAAAATGACAGACATCCCAACTCTCCCGGACATTCCAGGAGTCTCCCGCTATAAGATAGCGGCTCCCTGATGCCTGCTAAGGAAACATTTTATCCTGAAAAGGTTTACTCTGCTAGTAGAGTAAACCTTTCCGGGATACCTGGTGGTTCTACTCCCCCGACCGGTCTCCGTCACTTCCCGGTGGCCGCTGTCAGAATACAAAAAAAAAACAGCAGATAGCAGGGGAATGAATACCTAGGCAGCTATTGGCCATTTCAAATTGCAATAGCCAATAGCAGACTAGCTATTGCACCTGCCCACTGCTGCTGTCAATCATCAGAAGTGAACCTGAAGTTCTCTTTCTTTCATGGCAGGTTTTCCTTATGTGTAATAAAATGTTCAAAATTCAGTCTTAATATTTCTGGCTGCAAAAATATCAGTTTTTGCACCTGGACCCCAAGCTGTGAAATAACAAGCAGTTTGTATTGGTGACAAGTCAGTGAACAGTAATACTGGAGTATCTTACAAGGCAGGCCAGGTCTTATCTTACTGGACAGAAACACCAAAAAGCAGCACTGTGAATCAGCAAGAGGCCTACAAACTTCTCTTACTTATAATGAGTGCTGTTGTTAAGAAATAAACACTTGGGCGTAATAATTCATTTATCTCAACCAGTCAGAATTTCTCTTCTGGTGCTAAGCAGAGTAAACTGATTGTCTGATTGCACTTTGTACATCATTTCCTTTCACCCTGTGCCAATATAAAATGTTCGGCTTTATACATTTTGGGGATGTCCGGTTGGATAGATAGGCAAAAAAGAATGAATCCATACACTATTCATACATTAGGAACGCATGCCTTTTTCTTGTAATTAATCTGGAAGGAAAGAAGTGTACCGTAAGTACAGTGTCCATAAAGACAGACCAGAGAGAATGAGCACATGGGCGTCATATAATACTGATCCGGCATAAAAATGCATGTAATGGTCTGCAAAGTGTTTAGACGTGTCAAATAATTCTTAAAATCCACACATCTGTAAAATTCTTCTTCTGCAGCTGGGTTCATGGGACCGTATTGTATAATATGGCTGCACCAAGCACTATATAAAAAACTATACACTGTATGGATCTGAATGCATGAGCCCTCAGGGTGCCAACATTTACTAGCTACACTCTATCTAGGGAGGAGCAGAGCTGTCAACCTAGTAAGAATATATATTTAGGACTACACTACACTACTGTTATGGAGATGAGGACAGGGAATGGTGTTTTGTGGTTCACAGACTGTGAAATGGGAAGACTGCTCCCAGATAAATACAGCACAAGGAGACAACAAAGGAAGTTATCAGCTCACTAGATTAACTGGTATTTTTTGAGCGTATGTAACAGATAAAACAAAACGTTTTCAATGGTATACTTAAAAGAGAACTATGAGGCGAGGGATTTTCACTCATCCTCATAGTTCGAGCCGACCTGTGACAATGAGACTGTCACACGTCGGCTCAATAGATCGGGAAATGAGTGAACACATACCGTCACTCGCTCACTTCCCTCTCATCTCCCTGCAGTCACCGCTCCCCGCAGGGATTCCCCCCCTCCCCGCTCCGATCCCCGAGCGCTGAGTGGAGGAACGAATGGGGGAGGGGGCGGGCACAACTGGCTCTGCCTCTAGATAGGTAGAGCCAGCTGTCACTCACGCAGCTGGGTGGATCTCGACAGTAATGTCGGAATCCGTCCCGGCTGTGGTGGTCTCAGTATACCGCGAGCTGTAGCTCGCCATATACTGAGCTTTGGGTGACGGGAGAATGCTAGTATATGTCCTCTCGTGACCCTTAAGAGAACTGTGGGGATAAACACTTACAACATAGTTCTCTTTTACTGAGTATTAAACGCTCAATCTTTTTTTTTAATAATGTATCCAGACCAAGCAAATATACGTTGCCCTGCAACGTATTTCGTTAAATTTTTGCCCAACAACCACAGTCATCATGTTTCCAAACAGCAGGCTCCAACTCTCTCAGCTCAGCTTCCATGAACTACCTGTCCAGTACAAGGTCACAAGGAACAGCACAGTCTCCAGCAGCTGTCCATCTACTGGCTTGGAGAAGGAAGAAGGAGAGGGGAGAAGGGGGAATGGAGTGTCTTGCTTTGCTGTGTCTGTGTGTTTGCAGAGACACACACAGCGTACTAGCACACACAAGGGTGGCTCCATAGCACTCTGCAAGGAAAAGGGGGCACCCTAAAACAGGATATCGGGCCAGTGCTCAGGGGACCAGCTGAATCTGCAGGAAACTACAACTTTTAAATATCAAGGATTGACATCTATTGTAAGTGATTTATTCAGCATTGGAAATAGCTTAAAAAATATTTTTAGTGACCAAAAGTGAGAAAATAAGAAAAGCTCATTGTTAGGGTTTACCTGCACTTCAATAAAAGTCTTATTGAAGGCTGCCTGCTTCTCCGGTCACTGAAGCTTGTCTTCTCCTACGCTGGAGTATTGGAATGTTCTTCAGCATTCTCACGTCTATACACTGTGCAAAGAACGTGATGATTTACGGGACCTTAGACTGCTGCTGCGGAGGGGGAGAGAGGCTCCAGGGACCCGTCTAAGAGCAAGACGGCTCCTAGGACTTTTAGCACCTAGACAAAAACGAGCCGTTAACTCTTGCAGTGCGGGGGTAGACCCACTCCAAGGGTTAATAAAAGTTTTACCTGGCGTTTACCTTTTTTAAATTGTATGTGTAAACTTTTTTTTTTACATTTTGATTAGCATATGAAAAGGTTGAAACCCCTGTCAGATTATTTTTTTCCTGTCTTTTGATGGAAGGTATTTTTATCACCCTTGAAAGCATGGATATCACTGCAGCTAATGCATAACACAAACAGTAGTTCCCATCTACTCTGCTAATTGCAGCACAGCGACAGCTCCGCAGTGTGATCAGCACCTTCAAATATTATTTCAAATTTAGTACTGGAGAGATGACCATTTCTTATTTTCATTTTTGTAGACTCTTATGCTTCAAAAAGCCAGTGAGGATCTTGAAAGAGAGGCAAAAGATATAGAAGAGGAGAAACTCCGAACCCTTTCAGAGAAGATTCCACCCTTGCAGTCTGCTGGGCTGAGTCAACAGCAGTTACTGGTAATACATTCACTACTCAACATTTTGGTTACATAGTTGTTTTTGGTTTTTCTTTTCCATAATAATTTTATTGAAAATTTCAAGTAATTACTGGTACGAAAGTGCAGACACCAGTTCATGTTCAGTAATGTTGGTAATATCCAGGGGTGTAACAATAGCCGTAGCAGCCCATGCAGCTGCTATGGGGCCTGGTGGTGGAAGGGGGCCCCATGAGTGATTGCTGAAGTTTCTGCTGATCCTGTACCCCTTATGGCATTTGCAATCAAGAAGAGTTGATATCAAGATGTACAGGAAGAGACTGTGCAGACAGCTCTCCTGCTACCTGTCCTTGATTTAGATTTTAAAGGATTTGACATGGGGCCCTATTAAAATTTTGCTATGTGGCCCCATGGTCTCTAGTTGCGCCCCTGGTAATATCAGCTCATTAAAGATAACTTGTTCAATTTTGTTTCATGGTCACCTAGTGTTGTATAGTACATTCTAGGTCTGAATTTCCATTAAGACCATATTGCATAGAAGTAGAAGCTAGGGGGACTAGGTGGGGTTGGGTAAGCAGGAGCTGGGTTAGGGTCTCGATGGAGTTAACTCACCTGTAGATCCAATGCCTCCAACAAGGGTTGGGGCACAAATCCTATGTCTGGCCTAGTCTGGAAGTGGGTTAATTAGGATCAGAACATCAAAGTTTAGGAAGTCAATCCATCAAGCCCAGGTTTAAATGTATTAGGTAATTCAGTCTTGGACAGTATTAATGAGTTTCTCATCCTGAGTTCCTCATTTTGTGCATTCTCTCAGTCCTAAAGAGCCAATTCCTAAGGTTTGGAGGTCTTTTGTTCAGGCCGAGTTTGGAAATGCACATTGGAGCAGCATTGATTAGGTGTACCATGAGGGTTTTGGAATATTGTGCCGGGCGATCGCATTGCGGCCAGAGGGCATGGCTGCGGTGCCATTGAGTTCAATGCACCACCGCGCCCCCCTCCCACCCCAAAAAAAAAGTGAGCCGGCCGGAATGCAAACCATTGCATTCCGGACAGAATCGGGCTGGAACGCACTGCGGCTGGTGTGAACTAGCCCATACGGCAGTCTGCAAATTGCCCACTCCTACAGTAAATGTTGGAGAATATGCCCAAAAAATAGCTTTAAGTGAACCTGTGACCAGTCTCTGGACATTCAATTATTTCCATATTCTTAAGCAGTAAAAAAGCTTCAGGAAAACCCTCACTGACCTTTGTAGCTGTAGACACTGAGGAGCATTTCATTCTCAAAGTTCACAGCAGAAGCACTGGAGTCCTTCAAGTCTTTCTGTACTGAAAAAGGATCTTCAATAAAGTTTGCTAAAGTACTTCAGCTTATAAACAGCATCAAATCCGTTTGCAACAAGACTGAACTATCAAATAATGAATTCATTATTTTATTTCTCTCTAGGAGTTGTGCCACAAACTACATAAACAGATCGATGCTGTAGATGAAGAACGCTATGACATTGAAGTAAAAGTAAAAAAGAATTCTCAAGATGTAAGTCAGCAGCAATGCATATGTGATAAAGTGTTTGTCTGGGGGGGAAAAAAACACCACATGCAGTACATTTCTCTATTACATGCAGTTTTCATCATGTTTTGTCTCTTTAAAAAAATTCTGCAAGCACAGAAAATAATCAGCCAAAAATCCAGTAAATTTCAGTGACAACTCTGTCTTTATTGCATTCAGACCCAACACAGTGTTGTCAGCCCTGTCCAGGTCTATGTTGTTGGGCTAGAGAACAACTCCTCATTATGTTATGGCAATAAGGAGAGGGAAGGTATCACCACCAGATGGCCACAATCAAGTTTTTATTCTCTGGAGACTGATCTTCCCAGTCATTTCTATAGTACTTCAGAGATGTAAAAAGTTCATTCAGCTTTGCATGAAACCACACAAAACTAAAAAAGCCTGTTAGCCATTAAAGCCTGGATAATAATTATTAATTATAAATATGTGCATAGTGCATAAAAAGCCATGACTGGGCTTAAGCAAGAAGTCTAATTGTTTTTTCCTATACGGGCCTACTTATTAAGCATTTGTACATGCCCTATACTATTAATCTAACTCTTCAAACTGAGAAACAGAGGTTAGATGGCACCTAAACTCAGATTTCACACACGTTGTCTCCCCGCTCCTAAGAATACGTAACATTGTTAATATCAGAAACTTGTTACTAAGAAAAGAATGTAAACAACTACAAGACTGTAGTTGTGCACACTAAGGAGCAAGGGGACAGTACGTTAGGGCAGTTGACAAAGCAGCAATTGTCAGACCTAAAATGACCTCTAACATTTGATATTAAAGCTGGAGAGCTGTTAAGGGGGTTATTCACAAAGCTGCCGAAGGCAGCCTAGTGAATAACCCAGCCAAACTACAGCTATTCACTCCGGCTCAGTACGGCTGATTTCAGCTGTACATCGGCTGCCTTCGGCTGCACTTTGGTCAGCCAAACATGCTCTGCATGTTCGACTGAGCCGAAGTGCAGAAGGACTTCGGCTCAGCCGATCCAACATCTGGATCGGCTGAGCCAAAGCTCTGGCAGCGCACTCGATGCCGTTTGCCCCTATTCTCATAGGGGCGAACGGCAGTGAGTGAATAGCTGAATGCCGCCGAGGTTGAAAGGTTGACATTTTTTTTTAAATGTAAATAAATAGTAACATTTTAAAATAAATGTTAAAATTTAAACAAAGAAAAAAAAAACAATGACAGCTAGCTCTACCCAACTGTTTCCTATGGACCTGCTAGAGTCTTCTGTTGTTATTGTTTAATGACAGTTGTTATTGTTTAATGACAGTTCAGCATCCCCAGGTCATTTGGGGACGCTGATCTGTCATTACAACCCCAGCTGTCATTTGCAGGCAGGCAGTTCACCCCGCTTCGGCTGTCACTTCGGCTCCGTCGAGTCGAAGCATATACCTTCGGCTCAGCTGAGCCACTCGGCCGCCTTCGGCTGCTGCATGGGTTATTGTGAAAAGCCCGTACAGCAGCCCTTCTGTTCGACTGAACCGAAGGGCTCCCGCAACCGAAGGATCAGCTGAAGCTACGCCTGGATCCTTTGCAGCTTTGTGAATTACCCTTTAAGAAAGCAACTATAAAAATGTCACAAGTAGCTCTGAAAAATTATAATAGTTTAAGATCAGATATTCAGATTCCTGCATAAGTCCTGATTTAGTTCTCCTTAACATTTAATCACTTTGAACAAAAATTTCAGTTTTTGGTTGCTTAATGTGCATTGAAGCAGAACTCCGGGTAAAAATTGTATTAACCCTTGCAGTGGGATTACCCTCGCAGTGCATGAGTCAAGTGCTCGTTTTTGCCTAGGGTCAAAAATAAAAAAGTTATACTCACCCGATCCTCAGCTGGCTTGCTCTCCCCCTCCGCTGCAGTGGTCTAAGGCCCCTGAGTCATCACGTTCTATAAACAGTGTATAGGACGTGAGGATGCCATAGAACATGCCATCACTGCAGCAGAGCAAGAGACAGACAGGAGGGAGCACTGTCACAGTGAGTATAACTTTGTTATTTTTTACCCTGGGCAAAAACGAGCACTTAATCCTTATAGTACGGAGATAACCCCACTGCAAGGGTTAATACAATTTTTACCCCGAGTTGTTCTTTAAATCACCCACTGGATTTTTACATCTCTCAATGATACTACCGGTGAGTTACGCCCGCTGGGATTTCCAGTGCTGCCACCCAACTACTGCCATTACATAGTGAAGCTGGAGCTTGTCTCACTATTACTGCTGCATTATCTCTAATGTATAACGGATTGTAAGCCCTCAGGGGCACGGCCCTCCTTATCATCTTGTCTTGAATTGTATTGTAATTGTAATGTCTTCCTTTTATTGTAAAGAGCTGCGCAAATTGTTGGCGGTATATACATCCTGTATAATAATAATAATAACAATTGGCTAAGGGATCAAATATTTCTTCTTTTCATAGATTAATGGTTTGAACCAAAAGATTTTTGATCTCAAGGGAAAATTCAAGCGCCCCAACCTGCGCAGAGTGCGTATCTCGGCCGACGCCATGCTTAAGGCCCTCCTTGGTTCCACAACTAAGGTTTCTCTAGACCTGAGGGCTAACTTGAAGTCAGTAAGGAAGGAGGATGAGAAGGTTAGTGGTTTGCAGCCTAAGATGTCTATGCTATTTTACACCATCTCTGGAGGTTGGGGCTTATATAAACTGGAACAAGGAAAAATGGAGACTTTGGCTGTAGCAACAAACCAAGTCCAGCTTCCCTTTATTTCCCCACCACTCACAAGAACATCTTGCTTATCATAATAAATGTGTAGGCCTAGGATTTCAGGCTGTGATTCAATCCCTCTGGACTCAGCAGTTGGTAGAACCATGGTGCAAAAACCTGCACAAGAACAGCGCAAAAATAATGAAATATATAAATGTCTCAGCTTGGATTCTCTCCTGGCCAATATTGCTGCTTTACTTTCTCCAGTTTTTAGGCATTTCTCAGAATTGAATGGGCAAGTGTTGCTGTGGTCAAACTGCATTCTTGGTGGGAAACTAAATTGAACCTCGAGTTTAGGCAAAGTAACAGGCTCACTTGATAGATGACCCTCTTTGAGGTTAATAATTCACTACCTGTGCATCTCCAACAGCCATATTTCCTGCCCTAAGATTAATTCTTTTGTACGCTTGGGCTGGCCTTGGTAGGAACCTATGCAAAGCTAGGGGTTGTCTCTCTGTCCTCTTTTGAAAGCACTGATGTTAACCCAGAGCCTTAAAATACTCTATGTGCATTTTTACATGTTTTGATAGCAAGAAATGTTGTCACCTGACCACTATTATATAGCTTCCGTGTCTGCAGGGCCAAGGCTGTTTTTGGGGAGCAGATGCCAGTGCATGGTAACAGACTTAATTTCCCAAATTCTTCTTTGCTGTGTATGAGCACGTGACCACTATAGTGTAGCTTCTGTGTCTGCAAGCCTGGTAGAGAGGTGCAAGAGGTATGGGCAATCCGTCAAGCATTGTAAGGAGGTGTGAGAGTCAAGGGAAATTCATCAAACATGGTAGGGAGTTGCGAGGGGCTTGGGCAGTCCATCAAGTATGGTAGCGAGTTGTGAGAGGCATGGGCAATCCATCTAGCATGGTAGGGAGGAGCGAGAGGCATGGACAATCTGTCAAGCATGGTAGGAAGGTGCGAGAGGCTTGGCCAATCCATCAAGCATGGTAGGAAAGTGTGAGAGGCATGGCCAATCCATCAAGCATGGTAGGGTGGTGTGAGAGCCATGGTCAATCCATTAGGCATGGTAGAAAGGTATGAGAGGCATGGGCGTAGCTGATTGGTTGACTGAAGTGTGCTGGCTAAAATGAGACTACAGACATGGCATTCTGTAGTCCCACTGTAGGTGCGTGTATGGCAGAGTAACAATGCTACTGCTGCATTGCAAGGCAATGGGTTAGAGTTGTCAACCAGGAAACCCATTAGACAGTGCCGTGACTGGTAGGATCGCTAAGGAAGAGTACTTATCTCAAAGAAAAAAAATACAGAAGCAAATTACATGCACAATTACCCGCTGAAGCACATGTTGTATTTTTGATATTGGGGGTTCAGATACACTATAAGAGAAAAATTGCCTCCAAACAAAATGGAAACTCCCCAGCTCATTTGGGAAAACTTTTGGGTGTTAACATTTTGAAATTGTAAAAATTAAATCAACAGACTGTAATATTTTATATAAAAGCAACTGAACCTGTTTCTGTTTCCTTGCTTGGGTGAAAAAAACACATAAATCACTCATAAGCCAACTAGCTTGGATATGTTTACGGTAGGCCCCGGGCTGCTTACTTATGATTGTTATTCCGCTACAGAAGCAGTACATCCAACCTCATTAACAGGGGCATTGCATTGTTACTGAGGCCTTTATAACACAAGTGCCATAACTATAGATGTGTTTCTTCCAAAAGGCGAATGGCAGCATTACTGACTCAGGGCTATGCTGATGTTCATATGCCTTAAAGTTTGTTGGCGCCAGCCAATGTGTATTACGCTGCAGTTTTGAAATGTTACTATTATTATCAGCTGGGGATCAACTTTACTGGCATTTTAAAAAAATATCTATTTTTTACCATTAATCCTTTTTCTTTTTAATTTTAATTTACAGTATTTGTTACTTAGCTTTTTTTCATGTCATTGATAAATAACCTTTTAGCTATTTGTCGTCATAGAAACCAAAAAAGTTTAGTGTCATTACACACAACAGAAATGACAGGATAAAATGTGGACTTCTTATCGAGAAGAACACTTGTTTTAAAACTAGTCAAACTAGAATTCTTTCCTTTTGTTAAACCCGTCTATAGATTGCATAGAAAATAAAATGAATTTTTTTTTCATGACAATATAGCCAAAAGAAAGCTTTGTTTGTGCTGAAAAAAAATATTATATGTATTATTTTGTTATAGTAAAGCTGAACTCTGAGCACAAAAAAACTATAATTTAAATATATATTCCTCAGTAGCTACAAAGGATAAAAATCCATTTTGTGTGTATCAAATGCCTTAGCAAACCTAGATATTACCTTGTTCTACCATGCCGGACTACAGATCCTTGTATAAGGAGGGGGGTGTTCTGTAGCCCATCAGGAGAGAACTAGAGAACATTACAAATGGGCCTTGAAGATAATAGCAGACCCTAAGTTGACGGCATTATTACTAAAACGTTATATAATATGAAGGGAACTTGTCTTACTATTTTACAAGCCACAACATATATTGGAAAAATAAAATGTAAATACAGGCACATAACAGGTATTTACATTTTATTGTTCCAGTGTTTTTTCCTGTGTAAGTACCAAAGCCAAGATGCACTCTCCATCGAAGGCCCTCAAATTCTGTCAACGTCCTCCATTTTCAGAAGTGTTGGCACACTCATACCCTGCTCTACTATCCAATCAGGTGTCTCTCTGTTGGCTGCTGAGATGCCCCCATTAGATAATGGAATGGCTGGTTGACATTAAATTAAACACAGATGGCATCTTGTTTTAAAATATGAGTGGCTGTGCTGAAGGTAAATTCAAGTCAATGCTTCATTTTCTTTCAGGAGAAAACTGTTGAAGTTGACTGGCGTAAAAACATTGAAGCAATGTCCGGGATGGAGGGCAGAAAGAAGAAGTTTGACACCAGTAATGTATAGCCATGGTAAGTGGTTATATCATATGAAGATGGCATTCGGTAGACTACTTTATTATTGTTTTATGTTTTATAGTTGTTGAACAAAGCACACATGGCAGTGGTCTCAGCTTACCCACACTTCCATCCAGGGGTGTCCCTAGCCTTTTCGACACTAAAGGTGGGGGGGGAATGCTAGTGGTGCACAATAATGGGCGGAGATTGGGGGGCCTCTGCATCATTCCCTCCCCCCATTATGGCTCCAGCTCTGGCCAACATCCAGTCCAGCTCCTGGCAACGTCACTGGTTGTCAGGAGTTGAGTGGGATGCTGGTCAGGGCATCCCAGGTTGCTATGAGCTGGGCGGGGAGATATGTATGGCCTTACATATCTTCAGGCCAGAGCTCTTAGCAACCTGGAACGCTCTGGACAAAACGGGGTGGCAGGCACAATGCAAACATTGTGCAACAAAGGTGTCATGCTGCTCTGCCTGCCGCCCCCCCACGTGACCCAAAGATATGTTGCCTAGGGCAACAGCCTCAGGCTGCCTCATTATAGAGATGGCAACGCTTCCATCCCTCTGCACCTTTTCCATCTCTTTTGTTTTTAAGTAGACTGCCTGTTGTATTGGCTTGGTATCAGCTGTTATCTGTGGCCTTCGTCTGGCATACTGAAGCATAGTCCCTACTTCTCTCCTCCTTTTTTGGATAACATTGAATCTAGGCTTGAGACATTGGACCAGATAAAGCATGAGACATTGACCAGATAAACTATTGATGCTGTGACAAATATTTGGAGCATGGAGCACTCACACAAAAATCTGCACCAAATAAATACACTTCAGAGATTGAGTTTGCCAACATGTGGCAGAATGGGCGTGCTGGCACAAAACAATCAAGATCTTGGTTTCTGTGCCTAACAATCTATGTAATAGGTTATAAAGGGGCAATAAAGGGTCAGTGATTTCTGGTCAAAAACAGGTAAAGCCCATATTCTGTACACCAGTGGTCCCCAACCCCCGGGCCGCGGACCGGTACCGGTCCGTGGATCAAATGGTAACGGGCCGATGGGCTTCACAGTGAGAGGGCGGGTCCTGTGACTCATCTCCCCTCCCGGCCGCGTCCATAGTAACAGGCGGCGGGAGGGGAGGTGAGTCACAGGAGGCGTGTGTGTCACAAGCCCCGCCCCCCATAGATATGGGGGGGGATAGTAGTTGTGTACAGCTATTTCATGCTTTTTCATGTAATTAGACAAGTGGATTATAATGGGGAATATTACACTGTAATGTTCCCTATTATAATCTATTTCTCTGATTAAATGATTACAGGTAGGCATGTGATAAATCAAAGTTTGAGACTACATTAGAATGTGTGACCAGTGACGTGGTCACACATTTTAACGTAATCTCGCCCAGTTTTTCGGTGGTGGAATAGGTGAAGAATTCCAACGCTTTAATTTTTTGGTGTAACTGTATTTTATTTTGAAGGCATGTTTAAATACAATTAAATTAAAATTATTAAATCAAAACAATATAAAATTTAAACAATCAACGTCCCCCCCTCAGCGGGCCACGGTAACATGATCAAACGCTGACCGGTCCGCGGCGATAAAAAGGCTGGGGAGCACTGCTGTACACCATATAGATGACAAAAGCAGAATAGCCACCTATAAAACAGTGATAACCGCAGTCCATCAGGAGAGTTTCCTGGTATAGATCGCTTTTCCTGAAAATACATCTCCATTTCACAACAGATCATCAGGAGGTGTTTGCTTGTCAAACTAAAAAAAAACTACTGTTATTATTTGCAGAGATTGTTAAATTGCCGTGCTGACCTTTGAATGCTTCACTTCGTCAAATTACTCAGTAACACAAATTAAAGTATCGACTGCGATCCTTGGAGGTCAAACTCACAATTGAAATGTTGCCTTGTCTGACGTCACATTCTCTGATAGCACACTGCACTTTCATCAATTGTTGGTAAAGTGGACAAAACATTAAATAAATATATACATATATATACACAGTATAATCATGGCCACTAGATGGAGCTGAGGAGCATAGGATATAAGTTTTAAAGAGTAGCTATGGTCAAAAAATAAAAATGTATTTCTATGTTGCATTTACATAAGTTCTATCCTGCTACTAATAACCATATCCATCTAGAAGTTTGGAAACCTACTTATTGAATATGGCCATAGGCAGGGGCTGACTGGCAACTTTTAGCCCAGGGGGCAAGTACAACCCAGAGGCCCATGGTGCAGCAACTTGGTCCCCCTCCCGCTCTGCCTCCTCCCCGCATTCCCCCCGCCCGTCTGCCACTTTTGCCATCCAAGCTAAATTAATGGGTATAGGAAAATTATAGCACACTGGTAGTGGAGGGATGCCTGGTCAGTGCTGTGCGGGTGTACGACAGCTGCGACCCTGGTAGTTCTGCCACTAACTCCAAGCTGTAGAGGGACTACAAATCTCAGCACATTATACAACAATGCAGAATAATACCACCACCTATAGAGGACTATGAAGCTCAGAAATACATTGTACAGCATTGCAGAATGGCATTGGCTATAGAGAACTACAATTCCAAGCAATACATTACACAACAATGCAGAATACCATCAGCTATAGAGGACTATAAATCCCAGCAATACCATTATACAGCAATGCAGAACTGCATCAGCTATAGATAACTACAAATCTCAGCAATAGATATTATAGCAATGCAGAATAATATGAAGCTACATACTCTGTTGCTCTGGGTTCTCTGCCTGATGTCTCCAGGGTCTCACCAGGGGTCCAGAGAGTTTCACGGGTGCGTGTGGGTGCAGCAGAGGCGGCTCCCTAATTAGGCTCTCAGGTGGCCAATGCTGACTGTCAGGTGGCCAGTGCGGGCTCTCTGCTGGTCAGTGCGGGATCTGTGGGGGCTCACTAATCAGTGGTGGCTCTGTGGTAGCTCCCAGGTGGGTAGTGGGGGCTCCACTGTGGCCAGTGGGGGCTCCCTGGTGGTTAGTGGGGGCTCCCTGGTGTAGGGTGACCATTTATCTAGAGCTGCAGCTAATGATTATTTTCAAAATCAATTAGTTAGCCGATTATTAAGTTCAATTAACCAGTTAATTGGGATTTTTAAAAAATGGCTCCATGCAGTGATGGACTACTAGTTTGTATTGAGATTGTAGTCCATCACAGGAGCAAGCTAGGAGCGGTGGAAGGAAAAAAAAAAAGTGTGGTGTGCAATATAGTGAAAGGGAAAGTGTAAAACGTCCCTGTGCGTCCCATGGATGTAGGCGGGCGGTGAGTGTGAGGCAGGGAGGAGGTGTGGCGTGTGGATGCAGGCGGGCGGGTCTAGCAGCGGCAAGCGTGAGGTGGGAGGAGGTGCGGCATGTGGAGCGTGGATGCAGGCCGGTGGTTCTAAAAGCGGCAAGCGTGAGGCGGGGAGGAGGTGCAGCAAGCGGCGTGTGTGGAGCCGTGAACAGGGCCAACGAATCGAAAGCCGATAATTGATGATTGAGAACTTTTTCAATCATCGATTATAATCAACTTGGTCGATTAGTTGTTGCAGCTCTACATTCATCCCCGATTTCTGGGGACAGTCCCCAGATTGAGGAGAGCATCCCCTGACAAATTTTTTAAAATGCTCACCTGATCCACCGCCAAGTGCAGCCTCCCGTCTCCCACGGTGTCAGAAGCTTGCGCGCGCTGGGTGCAGCTTCTGAGAAGATACGCTATTAGCGTAGCGAGGAAGCTGGCTGCCCATTTAGCAAAGTGCCCGCTACGCTAATAGGCACTAATCAGGCACTGTAGAGGACCGCCCGTGGTGGCCTCCAGAGGTCAGCCTTGAGGAGCGAGCGGCCGCCGAGTACAGAGCCGCAACTGTTGCGGCTCTGTACTCTGTAAGTGGCGGCGGAGGGAGCCACTGCACCGGCGGCCGGAGGATTCTTTTAGCGGGGGCCAGTGACGGGCCCCTGGAAACAATGCATGATGGAATATGTAGTCTTGAGAAATTGAGATTACATCAGATCAAGCAGCAGGGAAAGAGATGCAAAGCACACTGGGAATGCAGGAAGTTGTTGAAGGTGATGGGCAGACAGAAGGCAGCACTCACTACATAAAAGGGAATTTTTCAAATAAGCTTTGATTGCATTGTCAAAAACAACTCTAGTATGTATTCCTATTACAATGCTGATGTTGTACCAGGATAGTATATGCTGGGACTTTACAACTCCTTTTATTTCCTATGCTCCATTCACACAGAACGGACGTACTGTACATGCAGTTTAAATGGACGTCTAGTTTAGAGTCCCAGTTTAGGGGCCATACAAGAGTACTAACTTACAACGGGAAATAGTGAAACAGACAAGAATCGATCTGGGGTTATAGTACGGAGTGGAAAGCACTCAGCAGGTGGGCTGCTGTTTGAATGGAGTGCTCCTTTAAATGAATAATGAAATACATTATATGTTTACTGATGACTTGTGTAACAAATTGCCGTCACTTCTACTGGTTGCATCACTGTGGATGTCGCTCACACTGACAACACACATAGAATTACCCATGTTCCATGTGCTTTTTGTGTTTGACGGAAACGTGATTTACAATGTTATTTACAGTTGTAATGGTTGACTCTCAGCCAAGGATTATATTGTTATGAAAGGGGAGTTACACCCATAGCTACTGAGGACGATGGCTTTACAGTCTACAGCACAATTCTTCCGCCTTCTGTGAGACAAGTAAAAGTTATCTAAGTTGAAGAAGAAAAACCTGAAGAGTTTTCCGCATACCAGTCCTTAGATGAGGTGGCTGCATTAGATTTATTTTTCAGGCTTTTTTCCTTTATTTTTACCTGATAATCCTGCCAGTAATACACTTCCAGTCCTAGGGTGACAACGCTCACTCAACAAACTGTATCTATAGAGGAGCAAGGTTGTCACCTTAGGGCAGGACTACAGAACACCTGCCCCTCTTCTCATCTCGGACTTAGGCGGGAGGTGTTCTATAGTTCACAGAAAACTTAGTGGGTCTGATACCACTGTTTGAGATAACACTGCAGACAGCACAGCAACGTACAAGCTCACTGGATTTCTGGCAAGATCAATACACTTATGTAAATAGATACAACAAAATGCTTTCAATGGTATTTTAACCAGACCAAAAAGAGAGCTAATTATAGAAGTGAATTGTTAGGGTTTGCATACACTTTATATCTGCAGTCAGGGTGAGATTCTCAGGGAACAGTGACAGTTTTCACAGCAGTCCAAGTTAAAATTGCGTTATTTTTGACACTGACAGTAGGTGAAAGGTCTGCCCTTCCTCACTTGGAATATGGACCACTGGCATTGTTGTCCCAAGCAGAGCCACTTTAAAGAAGAAATTCAGGCTGATAGACCAGTCCCACAGCCTCTTCTCCCCGAGCTCCGGCAGTCCAAGGACCATCGACATCACCATGTCTTATGCAGGTCTATTGACTCACATTAGATGCAAGGACGCTGGGAGGGACCCAGCAGACACACCCACTACAGGTTGCCTGCAGAAAACTACAGGAGGGGCGGAGTCAAGACCGGTCACCCTGTACAAGTACAGAGAACAGCAGTGACTGGTCTTTATTAGACCTCATTCACACCTGAGCGACATGTTCTTCGTCGAAAAGCGCATTTTGTATAGCACATTCTTGCAACTATTTTTATGCACGTAAAACACGAGCACATATAGTTGCGCATTTTTTGGAGCAGATCGTGACACATTATTGTTAATGTATAGATATGTTTTTTAGCATTTCCGTTGAAGTCTGTGGGGCCAAGAAGTGCAGAATCTGCCAAAAACGCCCAGTACCTTCCTATGTCCATCCCCCTCACTTACCTGTGAACACTTGTCACCTTCGCCGGGTCCATGAAGCTATTCTCCAATCCCCTGAACTTCCTGGTTGTGTGGGGTAGTGAGGGCAGAGGAACAATAAGCTCCTTCTGCTGTCAGTCAATCTGTTGGGAGGAGAGAAGGAGCGTGGCCTGATGCACGCTGTGTGTGTCAATGGGCGCACACAGCTACTTGGAGGGAGCGGTTTGTGGACCAACTAGAGAACGCGGAAATACAACATTTTTAACAACAACAAGAACAGAGGATTAACATAAGTGTGGGCCTCCCATTCATACAAATAAAAATCTGAAGGTTTAATCCCTTTAACCTACCGATATGTCTTAGGAGTGTGGGAGGAAACAGGGAGAACATGCAAACTCCTTGCAGATAAGTGACCTGGCAATCTCTTGTTCCAAAAGGGCCGTTTTTAGCTCTCAGTGACCCTCCGTTAGCCCAAAGGCTTCATTTATTTCATATCTTGGTGGTCCAGGGTTTTTTTTAATGTACTGTATGTGTGACAACCCACCTTGTCACCTTACTTTCATTCTCAGTAACCTGGCTGCATTCTGGTGCTTCACTTCAGAATCTGGAGTGAGGTGCCAAAACGCTTGTATGGAAGTGTGGCCGCAGTGTCACATGAAAAGCTGTACAAATGATGAGCACTGAGTAATAGTTTTTGCCCAGGGCTTGTTCTTGGTATAACACACACAGTGGCACATTGTATGGTAATCTCTATTTCTGTATGTTGCATTGTGTTCCGTGCAGTTTTATCAGTTACATTTTTTTTTGTTACAGAAAAGAAGAAAATGAAGACTTTGAAGATTTGCAACAATCTCCCCATCTCCCAAAGACTGCCAATATATCCATATCCTGGAGGGTGAACGTTTTTCCAAGTCTTAATAAACTCTTCTCTCTGTTTTCCACAAAAACACATTCGTAGCTGACTTGATTGACTGTTCATCGATTGACTGAATGTTATCCTCTGATCTGATCTTTACATAAAGTATACACAGACACACACAGACACACACACAGACCTACACAGACACACACAGACACACACACACACACACACACACTTAAAGAGACAATAGGAACCTGATATATTGCACAATGTCATCTTCTTCTTTTGTATTTGTGAGTTTCTGTTAGACTTGTATTAGTATATAAGAGAACAATATGTTTAAAAAAATAAAAGGTACCTGAAAGTGCTTTTCAAGTAGAACTGAAGCCAAAACTTTTTTTTAAAGTTTTGTATAGAGGAAGGGAAGGAAGGTTATAACCCCTGTCAGCTTTTTTTGCTATCTGTGTCTCACCGGGGAGATTTCTCTTACCTTCCTGTTCAACGGCCACAACAGGAAGTGAGAGGAAATCCCTCCAAAGGCAGGGAAATCCCTGGTGGTCAGCAGGGTCACCAGAACTAATGTCCTCATTGGAAGATTTCTCATCTATTCCTATTCTGATGACAACCAAAAATGTGGGATTTTATTTCACTTTTAGTAATAATGGTCACCAGGACAAACAGAGAGGGTTACTCACAGGCAGCTCCTAATCCCTCTCCACTCTATCCAAAACTAAACCTCATCATCCAATCATGTGGGAGCAGAAATACAGTTTTTTATTTCCTTTTCGCAATCTTTGGGTATTATTTGCAAAATGAAATTTCACATTCACCTTGCCTACAGCCTATTTTCCTTTAGTAAATCAAACCCTATGTGTTGCAATGAAGCTGTCATGGGCAAGGAAAATTTCATCTGGAGCCTCTGAAGATTCCTGCAGGACACAACCATCCAATACATCTGTGGGGGTTACTTTAAGTTGAGAGGTGGACCAAGAGGATGGCAGTACCTTCTCTGCTTAGGGCTCGTTCACACCGGGTCCATGCATTAATCGCACAGAATTAATGAATAGCAACGCAATGCACCTCCTGCTCTGTTAATGCAAGGTAGGTGCGTTGTGTGGTACAGTGCACTGATTTCACAGAACTGTGCAATTAACACAAGGACCTTGTGTAAATGGGCCCTTAACTGTTTGTTGCCAACTTATTTGTACTTGAAACTGAACTCATGATTAGTCATGGACTACACTCTCAGCAAGAGCTTGTTGTCAATCTAAGAATCTGTGTTTATTGATACGGATTGGAGCAGTGGGTCAAAACATTATCCTTCTCTAATCTACATATTGTTTACATGGAATGACAAAAGAGTAAAAAAAAACAAGCTTAGTCATTTGTCTGACTTGATTTATCATTGACTGTTTGGTGCTAGTGTACTTTTTTTTCATGCTAGGCTACAGTTCACCTTCAAATCATCTGCAAAGAACAGTGTACTAGTCAAACAACATTTCACTCTATGAATTTGTACAATGTTTAATATCACCTCAGGTATGAGCACGCATCTCTGTTTAAAGTTCACTGTCACTGTTCACACAAGTCACTGTTATGTATCAGTCGATGTAAAGTAGAATTAAACCCTTTATGTAAAACATGACACACAGCCGCATACATCTACACCTACACTGTCAGATGTCTGCATTCTGTTTGCAGCCTCTCACTTCATTTTAATTTCCTTTCAACATATTACTCTTCTTTGTTTAAATTTTAAGAGTAGTTTTACTGTCTTGCAGAGTCCTCTGGAGCCAATCTTTATGAGCGTGCTCCTGCCCTGGTCTACAGCTTGGCACACTGACCCTCCATGCGACTACCCGCACAGGCAGCTCAGAAGCCTAGGAATCTCCACGCTATACACTGAGCAAATTTCATTGATTTCAGCAGGAACCAGATGAAATTCGCACACCATGTCTGATGCTTTCCGCCCAACATCTTTCGATTGAAAAATCTAAGGAGCTGGGTGGAAAATTGGTGACCAAACAGTGCCTGCATCTAATCAGATGTAGGTAGGTAGTGTTCTGGTATTTTGACAGCCAGTGCGGCGGAATGTCAGCATACAATAGTCCAGTGACGTGCCGTGCCTTCTGTGCTGGGTGAGGCATCCCCCAGCCTGCCATAGCCTTGCACCGACGGAAGCTCCGCCCCATCCCGCCAAAGACCACCCCAGCTCGGTAACAAAGCTGTGTGGGGAGGAGACAGGGAGGAGCCTCCCTGCCCCTCACTGGCGAGGCTTTGAGATCGATGTTCTCACTGGGTTTTTTTTTTTTTTTGTATTGGACAGCTTTGACCAATTGCGCTTTGAGCTTGGACCACTGGAGCTCAAGTCTCAAGCTGTAGAGGCTGTGACAGCTCTTGCCTCACCAAGTTAGGTTACACAAGCAGTGGGGAAGCCCGCTGCTGTGTAACCTAACAACCTGTCAAAATTCGAATGCAGTGCTGCCTGTAATTAACAAACAACACTCTGTCCATTACAGCGGGGAGGATTTCCATACCTAATGGGGAGGCTTTCCCTGCTGTGTAACCTGTAACAAGCCGATGTGAATGCGGAAAAACCTGTCAGCTTCAGACTTGAAGCTGATACCTTTTTTCTTCATAATACTAGATGAGGCCCTGCCTCACCTGCCTCCCCTGACCGCACGTCCCTGCAATAGCCACATCGGGAGATTCAACCAATGACACAGTTTAGGTTGGATGGGAAAATCTGTTTTTTTGTGTTACTTTTGTTAGCCTCAAAGCTGAACGAAAGGAGCAGGGAGGAGAGGAATGCTGCTGAGAGAAGTCTAGCCCTGGCCACAGGCAAAAGGAGCAGCATTCAGCAGAGCCCAGGACCAGTGGAGAGGATCGCCCTAAATTCCGTCCAAAATGATGTCACCACCTTTCTCAGCTTAAAGGCAAAATTATAATTTTTTTGGATAGTGAGCAAAAATCCCGCCAGATTTGTATTGCTGTCTGTGTCTCTGGTGAGGAGTAAAGTCTCTCTGGTCTGATCTGGTGACCATTGTCCCTGGGATTGAGCATAAGGAAAAATCCAAAAATATGAATTGTCACCAGGACAGGAATAGCGAGGAAATCTTTCAACCTTGCTACTTATGGTAACAACTGTCTAAGAAGAGATTTCCTTCATTTAGGAGAGACTTCCTCTCACTTCCTGTTTTTTTTTCTATAGGACAGGATGTGAAGGTAAATCTACCCAATGGGACACATATGGTAAAAAAACATGATAGGGGTTTTAATTATTCCCTACTTTGTCCAAAATGGAAAATAAAAAAATGTTTGGCTTTAAGTAAACTTAAGTATACTTTAAAGGAGAATTATGGGGGTGAGTGAAATACACTCTTCCCCATAATTCAAGCTGACCTGTGACACTGAAGCTGTCACAGGTCGGCTCTATTGATCAGGAAGTCAGCGAACAAATGCCGCTAATCGCTGACTTCCCGATCACCTACCTGCAGAGGGCAGGGACTGTCAGTCACCGCTCGCCGCAGGGATTCCCCCCTCCCTCCTCTCTCCAATCCTTCGGCGCTGACTGGAGGAACGGACGGGGAGGGGGCAAGCACAGCTGGCTCTGACTCTAGATAGGCAGAGCCAGTATATAGCGGGCAATAGTTCACTATATACTGAGTTTTCGGTCACAGGAGGAGGTTAGTATATGTCCTCCCATGACCCTGAAGAGAACTATGGGGGAAAAATGTTACCCGATAGTTCTATTTTAACTTTTATTAATAATGAGTTATAAAGTGCCACAGAATTTAAATTATCAATATCTCACTCAATGTGTTCACTTGATGGGTATTGCTCTTTAATATCTCTGTAAACAGGGTTCTTTACTGTAAGAGCTGTAAAAATGTGGAACTGTCTGGAATTATTTCTAACAGATATAGAAAATAGTTTTTAAAAAAAAGTCAATACTTTTCTGAAATAAAAAAAATAAAGGGTTACGTACATAATATTACAATATTATAATATTATCTAATGTGGATCAGAATTGTATAAAGGAGAACTATGAGGTGAGTGCTTTTCACTCACCTCATAGTTCTAGCCGACCTGTGACAATGAGACTGTCACAGGTCGGCTCAGTAGATCGGGAGGTGAGCGAACAACCTTAACCCCATAGTTCTCCTTTAATCCCATTTCAGTCCCCGTTAAACTACACAGTCAAAATACCTGATCTTATTCCTATTCCCTGCACATAATACTGGTAATATTAAATTCTGCCGAAAAACAATGTCAATAAAAAAAAATTTAACAAATGTAACAATGTGCCTCCTGTTCAATAAGACTTAAAATAAATACAATCAAACTAAAAGTTCATGTTTAAAAGTAAAACCTACTCCCATGTACGTGGAAACAGCTTTCAGTTCCCTTCCTTCCACTGTGATATTTGTATGCTGCACTTGACACCTTGCGATCCCTTCACCCGTATGGGAACACAGTTGCCAAAAAGAAGCAACCTTTACTCCCTTTGACTAAAAATCACATCATCATACTGCTCTGCATGCTGATATGAAATCATCTTACATTTATTAGCTAAACAAACATATTTTTACTTTATTTACAATTTCTTTTTTTCTACTTCCTGGTTCACTTTGGCACAAATGATGTAATCGTGTCCAAGCCTTGCATCCTGGGAAGATTACATCAGCAGTGCATTGCTGGGAAACCTCATCTGTAATCTCATGAGATCTCAGGGAAAGGCATTTTCTCCCCTGAGATGATGCGCATTGTCACATGTGCTGATCACATGTGCCAGAGTTCCAGGAAGTAAAGGGAGCGCTATTAACCTGCCCTTAGTTAAAATGGTCACTGTCAGAAAACTGGGGAAGAAAAAATAAATAAGGTATGCAAAGAATGCAAAGTCTGCAATTTACTAGATGTATGTGTATGTAGATTGTCATTACTAAACATTTCTAAAGGTGTTTGCTGTTATTTCGAAGATCTGGGT